AAAAAAATATTATTCCTTCATAGATCTTGTTCAAAACTTTTCGGAAAAAAATAATAATATCTTGTTCAAATCCGAGTGAACATAAAAAAAAGTTCATAAATCCAAAATAATTTTAACATTAACCATAATGATTTAGTTTCAAGACAAAATTGTAAGATCGATAATCTATCAAATATTCAAATGTATTTTTTTTTTTCCAACAAAACTCTATATATTAATTTATCAGAAAAAGAGCAAATCAGGAACCGACTGACTTACATGGAAAAAACAGAATCTACGTATTCTTGCACATTTCGCAAATCGATCAACACAAATATTATCTTCACGAGGGATGTAACTAATACTAAAATATACAAAAAAAGATATTTGTAGTACACAAAATCTTTTAACTTAAAAGTAAAACTAGACCAATCCTCGATATTAGCAGTCATATCAATGAGGTTTGAACAATCTGTCGCAAAGAGGACTTTATCCAGAGAGAGTGCTACCATGCTCTTCATTGCCCATAGGAGGGTTTCAAGCTCAACATGCAGAGGGGATAGGCATTGGCGTGAACCTTTTAGTCCGAGATGCAAGATTTTGTCGCCTATAGAAACAATTTAGCCATGTCCGCTATGGACCTCTGAAGCATGCCATGATCCATCAATGAAACACATAAGATAATCTTATAGAACTGAAGGCTTAACTAAACTCAAAACTACCTCTTTAGGTGAGTCTGCTCTATTATTAGCTCGTCGCCATACTTCTTCTTTGTGAATTGCTCTCTCTAAGATTTCTTGAGGAGATTCATAGATATTTTCAATGATTTTCTGATATCTTGCCTTCCAAATATACTACATGATCCAAGGAAAGATGTGTAAACTCTCATTAGTCGCTCCAACGTCCCTGCCTTTTCCATATAGGTAATCAAAGTTACTATATAGGGAGGACGAGGGTATACTGAATGAAAGAAAGAATAGTCGAGAGAGCCCACACTTGTCTAGTTGGAGGACATTCGAAGAACAAATGGTTAATAGTCTCCTCCTCCGCCCCATATCTTGGGCACTCCTTATATCTACCAATATAGTGATAATGAAATCGTTGACAAGTTACCAAACAACCTGTCACACATTGGCATACGAACTGTTTTAACTTTCGTGTAGTTTTTAGTTTCCATGCTTGCGTCTTTAGTGGCGTGACACTAGGTCCCTGAAGAGGGTGGTCGCAAGTAGGACGAGAGATGGCTCTCGCTGCTATATATCCAGATTTGACAAAGTAATTGCCCGACTTTGTCAAGGTCCAACAATACCATTCGCTCGAGACGTGATGACTCGGTTTCAGCCCTAAAATAAGGGTAATTTCATTCAGTTGGAAGAGAGTCCGGAGACTATCCATTTTCCATTTTTTGGTCTCAAAATCTATCAATGTATATCTTAATACATGCAAATTCTATATATAAAGAATGAAAGAGACTCTCTAGAAAATGACACACCATCCATTTTCTCATGCCATGTTAACCTCTCACAAAATGCCACTTGTATAAAAAGTTAAAAACATATCTTAATTAAGTGATATTTTTAACACATTTCATATATTTTATCGAGAACATATAATTTTTATGCTTTTTAGTGTTTATATGTTTCTAGACCTACAGGAGTAAAAGAAAGTGTTTTAGAAGAGAAATAAAATAAAATGCATCTAAGTGGAGAAAATGAAGAGTTTTTGGATGATTGTAGATATATAGCTGGAGAGAAGTATCGGAAGTTTAAGACTTCCCATCGTTAGATCTTGCTCATTTTTAGATAAAAGATAGATAAAGATGTTAGATTTCATTTTCAAGTGGAATCGAGAAAATCCAACGGTGAAATCTGAAGTTATGGCCAATATAACGATCATTTACAGAGCATAACCGATCGACACCATATCTCTTCTATATAAATATTATATGTATTCTAGCCGCAAAGACACGTAAATATTTCTCTTCTTATAATTTTATAGAGTTTTTAGTTTTGTTCTTATTTTTTTCTTTTAGTTTTTTTTATCAAAACCCTTGAGTAATCTTTTCTGAACTCTTTATCTTTCTCCTACATAGATGCAAGCTGGAGATAAAAGTAATGGAGATGGGTGTGTTTGCGGTCATTCCTCTATTTTCATATATGATAAATCGAAGCTTGAAAACAGAGGCGAAATAGGGTAAAATCGATGATATTGTACCTTCGGTAAAGCAAGTTTGACATTGTATCTTGCCAATCCGGTGTTGAGGTACGGTACAATGAAGTCTTGAGTTATATCTAAAACAATACTAAAGTAAAATCATATTTTCCAGCGTACAAAATTAATATAGACAAATTTAGATAAATATTTGGATTTGTAATATGAGAAAATTTAGACCCAAAGAGCAAATTGTTGTTAAATTGATTATACAAACTGTTCCACATTTTTTTCAAGCTTGGTGAAACTTGCATATAAAAATACACACTGATATTTTCGAAGTTCTATAATGTTAACGATTTGACCATTTGGGGATTATGTATCGGGCTTGATTTTCTTAAATTTAATTTAGTTGGCAGAACAAAATATATTTTTGCAGAAGAGTTCGATGGGGTTCCTATGATGCTCAATGCACGCGTGTGGCTTTTTAATCATTGTAAAATTTATATTTGTCAACAAACACTGTTTAGTTTAATCAGTTAAACAGAAAAATAAAAATTCTAGTATTTAATTGTTTATTTTACATAAAGCTTTCATTTAACAATACCTAAGCCTATGTACATTCTTAGCATTATTAAATTACAATCTAGCATTTGTAAGAATTGCACATGCGTTTGTTTGATTGGTTAGGAGACCTTTCAAAAAGAAAAGAAAAATAGCTAGGAGAGCAACTATATATAAATTAAGCAAGTTATGATCATAAGACGAAATATATTTATAAGGTTTTTGTTTTTAATTTGCTTATTAAATTTTGAACAACGACAAAATAGACATTTAAATCTATGATTAAGGCAAACTTTGGGGGAAATTCCATATCTTTTATGGGTGCCCTAATTTCTTATTGCTTCTTGGAAAGTTCACACTTGACAAGCACGATAAATCTTGCACGTTGGAGTACAAACAATCCTTTATGTATTTTTAATTCACCAAACTAAACTTTAATTAAAAATCTAAATCCTTGAGTTATACACTAGCATAGTAGTAGCATGTAGTATTTTTTTTTACCATTATTGAATTAAAAATTTGTACAGAAATTTTATTAATTCTATTTGAATATGATATTTGTGTTGAATGCTAGTAGGAAAAAAGTTGATATTTAATCAAAAAAGATATTTAGTAATTGCGACATCAAAAAATTGATTATTTGTCTGATTATAAATACTTCTCCCGACATCTTTTATATTCTTTTTACCACTGGTCACTAGTGGTCAGTAAGATGAAGTAATTGCGATGATTAAAGCATATTAACAGTAAATTTATATTGTCAAGTAAAATTAAAAATAAGAGGTAAAAAAGTAAATGTGAAGAGTTAAAATATTAAAACTAGTGTCAGAGTTGGGCCTAAAACGGTGTATAATCTGCAAATCTGCCACTATAGCTTTTGTGTCACTCAGCTCTCCTTTAGCTTTTGCTTTTATAGATTAACAAATAAAAGGTAAATATTGTGTTTATTACCAATCTACTTTTTTTAAAAAAAATTATTGAACTTTGTAAAACTCTCTACCTTTTATTTGAAAAGTATATTTTGTCTAGTTTATTGTTAGCAAAATTAACTTTAACTATTTCGAAATTCTAGAAACATACATAGTTTGGAATCAAACCAGATTAATTTATTTATTGAAAATAATGAAAAACAAAGAGATGAGAACCCAAAAAAAAAAATGTAAAATAAGATAATATTAAGACAAGTTACTTTACAGAGGCTCTGTCTTTTTTATCATCTCTGATCTTAGTCCTATTTTTACTTTTATTGTGAAAAGCACCCCAAAGTGCACTTCTGTTCCCAAAATTTTGAACAAGTTATATAAAAAGACTGAATAAATCATCAAAATATTATTTAAAGTAAAAATGAAATTGAAAGTGGTAAAGAATTGGAAAATATAAATTATTTATTAAATGGTGCGAATAAATTCAGGCTTTGTCGTATAGTTGTCTTTGAGCAACACTTCTTGCATTAGTAGTACATGGGATGGGTAGTAAAAGATATGATATGACTTGTTTAGTGTTTAATTTATAAAGCTTTTTTTTTTACAGAATCCTAATATTCTCCTAATTTGATTTTGAAATGTTAAGAAAATATTGATTATGATTAAGGATGTCTAATAGAATGTTTAACTAGTGTATTCGCATAAGATCACCATTTAACTAGTAACTATTTGTATTTCATGTAACAAATATGTATAACTATTAAGTTGTACATGATGAATCTATTGTGTTCCTTCCTTTATATGAAAGTACAATTTAAAGCAAACAATTATAGGTTACATGAACAGAGATTTTGGGAATAAGCAATGGAGAATTACTCATTTATTGTTTTTTCTTTCTAATTGGGTCATGTGTTGGAGATGCACTATATAGTGAAGAAGATTTGATGCATCATTTTCACTAAAGGTGTTCAAAAAGAATTATCAGTCTCACATCTGCATAGAAATTATTGTTATAAAAAGAATAGAACCAAGATAAAAAGGTGGTATTATAATGCATCGTTTTTTCTTATTTTATTGGAGATGAAAAAAGGTGGGATTGTCTTGTTGTAGGGACAACTTTGACGTGTTCCAAAGAGACCTTTACTTGCTCTTCTCAAATTGAAGTTATCCAAATCAAACCAAAATAAAACATACCCAATCAAACCTAAAAATACACAAATTGCTTATTGATTTCTTGTCTAACTGAATCAAAACCTTCAAATCAAATTATTATAAAACCAAACTGAAATAAAACCAATTGGTAACCTCAAATTTTTCCGACACTTAGACACAACTAAACACCAACTTCAAGAAATTTTTATACTCCCTCCGTTAAAAGGACTTAATTATTAAGCCCAATTGGGCCTGTAAAGTTCAAAACATGAAACTAATTCGATCTTCTTCTCAATTACAAATTTGAGAAAACTACAAACTTATTAAGCTTTTTCACATATGACATCTCCAAGCACAAGCAAGAATCATCGATGCTTAAACCTAATCCCAAAATGCAAATCCTTACAAAACCTCAAACAAATCCATGCCCAAACCATCACAATCGGTCTCTCTCACCACACATATCCTCTAAGTAAACTCCTTCACTTATCCTCCACCATCTGCTTATCCTACGCACTCTCTATCTTACGCCAAATCCCAAATCCTTCCGTCTTCCTCTACAACACTCTCATCTCCTCCATCGTCTCTAATCACAATTCCACCCAAACCCATCTCGCGTTTTCTCTCTACGATCAGATTTTGAGCTCAAGATTCAATTTTGTTAGACCTAATGAATTTACTTACCCTTCTTTATTCAAAGCTTCTGGCTTTGACACGAAATGGCATCGCCATGGGAGAGCTCTTCATGCCCATGTGTTGAAATTCATCGAACCGGTGAATCATGATCGGTTTGTGCAAGCTGCTTTAGTTGGGTTTTATGCGAATTGTGGTGAATTGAGAGAAGCTAGGTCATTGTTTGAGAGAATTAGTGAACCTGATTTGGCTACTTGGAATACTCTTCTTGCTGCTTACGCTAATTCCGAAGAAACTGAGAGTGATGAAGAGGTTTTGAAGTTGTTTGTTAGAATGCAAGTGAGACCTAACGAGCTTTCTCTTGTAGCTTTGATCAAATCTTGTGCAAATTTAGGTGAGTTTATGAGAGGTGTTTGGGCTCATGTGTATCTCTTGAAGAAAAATTTGACTCTAAACCAGTTTGTGGGGACTTCTCTCATCGATTTTTATTCGAAATGCGGATGTTTGAGTTTCGCACGCCAAGTGTTCGATGAAATGTCTGACAGAGATATATCATGTTTTAACGCAATGATTCGTGGTTTAGCAGTTCACGGGTTTGGTCAAGAAGGTATTGAATTGTACAATAGCTTGATCTCCCAAGGATTAGTCCCGGACAATACAACTTTCGTGGTGACGATATCAGCATGTTCGCACTCGGGTTTAGTCGACGAAGGTCTCCAAATATTTCACTCGATGAAAACGGTTTACGGGATCGAGCCTAAAGTTGAGCATTACGGATGTTTAGTTGATCTACTGGGCCGATCCGGGAAGTTAGAAGAAGCGGAAGAATGCATCAAGAAGATGCCGATGAAGCCAAATGCGACGCTATGGAGATCGTTTCTAGGGTCAGCTCAAATTCACGGTGACTTGGAGAGGGGTGAAATTGCACTAAAACAATTGTTGGGGTTAGAATTCGAAAACAGCGGAAATTATGTGCTCTTGTCGAATATTTACGCCGGAGTTAACCGTTGGACTGACGTAGAGAAGACCCGGGAACTTATGAAAGACCACCGTGTGAATAAATCTCCGGGAATTAGTACTATTAATTGATTCATTATACCACAAAATAATGTGTAATCCTTTTTTATAGCATAGAAATAAAATTTAAATTTAATCTCCAAAGGACTAAAGCTAATACAACTTGTTTTGCTTTCATAATAAACCTGTTACTTAATCCACTATACCACTAATTCATGTGTGTGTGTGTGTTTTTTTTTTTTTTCACAGGAGACAAGTCATATGAAATTCAAATATAATATTTAGAGGACCAAAAGGCCAAAGCTACACCAACTTGTTTTATACTTTTATTTAACAGTGTTAATCCTTTAATAACTCGATACGTGTATACCAAAACTATTACAAAATTCTTAACTTTAAGTAGATATGACAAAAATATCCCATTTCTTTAAAATATTTTCACAAAAATCTTGTTTTACAATAGAATAAAAATAAAACAGTTGTTAGATTGTTGTCTTTTATACCATAGATTAATCAAATAATTTGAATTAGGTGCTTATTGACACATCAATTTAGAACAGTATTAGACCGATGTCTATTCATTATCCACTAACTGAGTATTTTTAATGAATATGTAGTCCTAATTAATCATGTATCCACTAATTATGTCTTAATTACAAAAAAAATTGATTAATCAATGTTCTCTTAAAGATTAAGAGAGCCAAAACAAAGCAAATTCAATGGCTTCTTCAGCAGCAGCCATCGTCTTCTCCGATTCTCCGTTTCGTTCTTCACCATTAATCCATAACCATCATGTTTCTCGTTATGCTCCTGGATCCGTCTCTGTCGTCTCCTTCAACCGTCGAGCTTCCCGCCGTGGTCTCGCCGTGAAATCGGCGTTGATTGAGCCAGACGGAGGAAAACTCATGAACCTCGTAGTCGAAGAGTCACGGCGGCGCGTGATGAAACGCGAGGCGGAGACGGTTTCCGTAAGGATCAAGCTGAATCGTGTGGATCTAGAGTGGGTACATGTGCTAAGCGAAGGCTGGGCAAGTCCTCTCAAAGGTTTCATGAGACAGTCAGAGTTCCTCCAAACACTTCATTTTAACTCGTTCCGACTCGAAGACGGCTCCGTCGTCAACATGTCGGTTCCGATCGTCCTCGCGATCGACGACGATCAGAAGTTTCGTATCGGAGATTCCAACCGAGTCACGCTCGTTGACTCGGTTGGTAATCCGATCGCGATTCTTACCGAGTAAGTCTCTTATTAATTATGCAATTGAAATCATGTATGCATAAAAACCTAATTTGTAGAAATATCGTCTTGATTATGATTTGTGATTGAATTTAGAGCTAAAACTGATCATTGATTGATTGATTTTGAGTTAGTATTGAGATTTACAAGCATCCGAAAGAAGAAAGAATCGCGAGGACATGGGGAACCACGGCTCGTGGACTTCCTTATGCGGAAGAAGCAATCACCAAAGCTGGAAACTGGTTGATTGGAGGTGATTTGCAAGTCCTGGAGCCGATCAAGTACAATGATGGTCTTGATCGGTTTCGTTTATCTCCATCTCAGCTGCGGGAGGAGTTTATAAGGCGCGGTGCGGATGCGGTTTTCGCTTTCCAGTTAAGGAACCCGGTCCATAATGGTCATGCGCTTCTTATGACTGATACTCGTAGAAGGCTCCTTGAGATGGGTTACAAAAATCCAGTCTTGTTGCTTAATCCACTTGGTGGATTCACTAAAGCTGATGATGTACCTCTCAGCTGGCGTATGAGGCAACACGAGAAGGTATAATAAACCCTAACTTTTGCTTCCTTATGTTCCAAGAAACTCTATTGAATACAAAGTGGTTCATCTTTCAAATGAGGTTTAGATTTTGATGTATTGATATTGGATAATAGACTTGGTTTTTGATTCTGGATATTGCGCTTATGGAGTGAAAATGTTATATTGCTGTTTCTTGGTTTGACCATGTAGGTGTTGGAGGATGGTGTACTGGATCCTGAGACCACTGTAGTCTCCATCTTCCCATCTCCGATGCTATACGCTGGCCCGACGGAGGTTCAATGGCACGCCAAAGCTAGGATCAATGCGGGAGCTAATTTCTACATTGTTGGTCGCGATCCAGCCGGTATGGGCCATCCGACAGAGAAGAGAGATCTCTATGATGCCGATCACGGCAAGAAAGTGCTTAGCATGGCTCCAGGACTTGAACGTCTCAACATTCTTCCCTTCAAGGTTAAGATCAATAGTTGCTTCTTCCTCTTAATCGAAAGTTTCTTCAAGGGTTAAATCTGATTGTTTTTGGTTTGTTTGCATAGGTTGCTGCATATGATAAAACCCAGGGGAAAATGGCGTTCTTCGATCCTTCCAGGTCTCAGGACTTCCTCTTCATATCAGGAACCAAGGTAAAACCCAATTCCGGAGGTCCAAATCTGAATTCTTATTCTAATGACTTATCAAAAAACTTGGATCGGATGGTTTTGTTTCGTAGATGCGTGGCTTGGCGAAGAAGAAAGAGAATCCACCAGATGGTTTCATGTGTCCGTCTGGTTGGAAAGTGTTAGTTGATTACTACGACAGTCTCAGTGCAGAGTCTGGTAATGGAAGGGTTTCAGAAGCTGTTGCTTCTGCTTGAATGCAAAGGTTCCTTGTCCCACAAGTTTTACATTTCCTGTTTGTTAAGTAACAAAGCTCTGTAACAAAAAGCTTCCAATAAAACTAATGTACCATCTGTGTGTTCTTTGCGTCTCTGTTGTCAAACTTGTCATCGAGTCGCATTGATTTGTACCATATTTGCTTATTGTGTTATGAATGAAAAACATTTGTGTATTGTGATTAATTGTCTCATGGAAACATAAAACTGTAAGCTAAAAACTGTAAAATGAGTTTTACTACATGATGGTAGGGCCTAAAGGCGGTGGCGGGTCGATTCCCGGAGGTGGACTCTCCGGTGGGAAGATATCCGGTGGACGAGGCGGTTCCCAAATCGGAGGTGTCACATCAGGTGGCGTTTCCGGCGTAGGAGGATTTGGAGTATCTGGCATCGGTGGAGATGGAGATGGTGGAACCGGAAACTCGGGGCCGGGAGTCTGCGGCTGTCCAAGCGGTGGTGGATCACTAGGAACCGCTGTAACTTCCGGTGGAGTTTCCGACGGATTTATCTCCGGTGTATTCGGAAGCTCCGGGACTTCTAACGGAGCCCACTCTGGTCCTCTACTTGGCCGTGAAGGTAACTCTTCCTCAGAAGGAGATCCACCGGGAAATTGGATTTCCGGTGGACCGGTTTGGCTAACGAAATAGACTCCGGTACTAAAGTTGGTTAACCCTCTAACCTGGTTAGTAGAAGTACACGAAACAGATTTCGCCGCGGTGATTAACCGTGTAGACCATGGCTTAGACTTGAATGATGAACATAAAATGAGAGTGCCTCGCATAAGATTTGCAGAGATCAAAGTCATAACTTTGGTTTTACTATCAACTCTTGCATAGATACAATTTAAACAAGTTCAAGTTTATTAACACGTGGCACCAAGGACCATATATGCAGCATTGTGGTTTAACACGTAATCTAAACACGTGGCAGACTACTAAATATTACACGAAACTCTTGTGCTAAACCAAGGCGGGTCGATTCTCATTGGTCACTTATGGGTCAGGTTTGATTCTCTATTTTTCATTTCCATATTTATTTGTTTTGTTTTGTTTCTTGTCTAAATAAACTCGTGTTACACATCACTAATCTCGAATTCAGATATTGCAATCATATATATTAAGATAATAAAAAAATATCACATCACATAAGTTACAAACCATAACAAATTAGTTTTCCAAAAGAATTCAAAAAAAAAAAAAACACTACGACGACGTAATGGGAGTGATCCTAGGAACTTGAACAGGAAAGTCATCAATCTCATCAATCCATGGATTAGTCTTCTCGTCCATCGGATCAATCGTTCTCAATGCTTTCCAAACCGCACTGTTACACTTAAAACCCGATCCGAACGCAATCTGCCATGTCCTATCTCCTCTCTTAATCCTTCCTTTAGCTTCACTATACGCAAGCTCATACCAAAGTGAGCTACTCGAAGTGTTACCAAACCGGTTCAACGTCATTCTCGATGGCTCCATGTGCCATTCGGATAAATCCAAGTTCTTCTCTATCTCGTCGAGCACCGCTCTACCTCCCGCGTGGATACAGAAATGCTCGAAAGCTAGCTTGAAATCGGGAATGTACGGCTTTATTTTCTTGACTTTGAAGACTTTTCGGGCCACGAGGGTCGCGAAAAAGAGAAGTTGTTCGGACATTGGTAGGACTAGTGGTCCGAGAGTTGTGATGTTCGTCTTGAGAGCTTCTCCCGCTATTGCCATTAGGTTTTTAGAGAGGGAGACTCCGATTTTGCCGGTTTCTTCTGCGTTGTTGTCTTCTCGTTGGTAAACGCAGCCGAATGCGTTGTCGTCAGCTCCTTTGTGGGTACGGACGGTATGGATGAGCTGATATTTTGAACGGCTACGATCGGAGGAGCGGTTCGAGAGAAGTACCGCGGCTCCGCCCATACGGAAGATGCAGTTAGAGAGAAGCATCGATCGGTCGTTGCCTAAGTACCAGTTTAGGGTTATGTTCTCTGTGCTCACCACTAGTGCGTATGAGTTTGGTTGCACCTGAATAATTGTCACAAATCTATTATTACTCTCGAAACTCAAAAAATATGTATACAATACTCAAAATAAAATAAAAAGAAATTTTCGGATCTAAGAAATTCTAACAATGGTTGTGACTAGACAACCGTTATACGGTGGACATTAAACACAAATCTATAAATGCAACCGTATGTGTTGTGTGTGCTATGTCTCATGTGTAATGTAATGCAAGTAGCCAACATTATATTGTAGCTCATTTAAGACCTTTGGTTCAATTTGCCAACCAGATTAGAGATTGAAGAAACTTGCAAGCACGTGTTACCACGTTCGTTTCTTAGATCTACAATTTAAATATATGTTTGTAATTAAAAGTGAATGTAAATTTGTAATTATGCATCAATCGTAAATTCTTAATGCATGCACTATTAATTTTATATGAATACTTTTTGCTAGATGGTTACGTTTGAGAAAAGAAAAAAAAGATGTAATCAACTTTTATATTTTATTATAAATATATAATATAACGCTAGTCATTACATAACATAAATGGTTTTTCCATTTTCACAACTACCACCAACCTAAAGACTACAAAGCCTGTCTTTGTCAGAATTTTCATAGACACGTGACTTTTACACGTAAATTTGGCCTTTATGTTTTCATACAACTCATATATAGCATAAAGTTGATTCCAAATTCAATATAAGTCGGCAACCAAAAACCAAACCAGTGATAACACTAATATTATAGCACGTAATAATGACATGCAAGCGAAGTCAATTAATCAAAAAATCTAGCTGGTAAGTGTACTAAATGCTTTATTAAGTGACACCGAGACACAAATAGTTAAATTTTGAAAGGAAAAATTATAAGCTGGTAATTCTACTAAATGCTTAAATTCTCCCAATAATTTCAAGAAAACCATGAGCTGTCTTTAGCCTTTTCAACTTTTAAAAGTCGAATAAGAAAAAGTCCTAGATATTATTCTTCCACAAATCACGACGACTCATAACAGTCTAAAACACAAACCGGATTAAACCAAACCGGATAATAAAACAGAATCTAAATATCAAAGAAAAGAATAAATAATTTACCTGAAGCATCTGTTTAGCGAGATCAATGGAGATATGTCCAGCACTACATCCCATTCCACCAAGATTATAGCTCAAAATGTTTCCTCTAAGCTTATACTTATTCACAATCATAGCAGAAAGTGACGGTGTTGGATTAAACAAACTACAATTCACCACAAGGATTCCAATATCTTTAGGTTTAACACCGGTCTTCTCAAGAACCGCGTCAATAGCTCCGAACATAACTGTCTCTGCCTCTTTCCTCGCTTCTTCCATACAAGGATTAGGAGGAACACGAAGAAGTGCTTCAGGGAAGTAAGTTTTTTGACCTAGACCTGATCTTTCAAGGATCTTTTGTTGAAAAGCTAGGTTGTCTTCTGTGAAGATACCTACACGTTGAGATCTGTCCATGAATGTTTCACGAGTGCAAATCAGTGAAGGGTCTGGTTTGTAACATGAGAAGTCGAGGAGGAAGACACGGCGAGGACGGGTGGTGAAGTAGGCGGTTGAGAGAGAGATTAAGAGTCCGGTGGCTAGTGTGGCGGAGAGGAAATGGAAACGGAGTGTGTTGTAGAGGAGAGAGAGGTCGTTGATGGTGAAAGAAGAGAGGTTAGCGATTGTTGCGGCGAGGAGAGGGAGGAGGAGGATGTAGAGTGCGTTGGAGATTAGGTAATGGTAACCGAGTTTTACGTATTTGAGACGAACGGATAAGAGAAAGTTTGGGAGGTTGTTTGGGTTAGGGTTTGTCTCGGCGTTTGTGACATGGACCGGGACTGGCCGGTGAGGTTGGTTCTGGTTATGGCTCATCGTGAGAATGAGCAAATGTTTAGGATGAGGATTTGTTGAGAAGAGAAGTGTCAAGTGAAAGATTTGGTTCTCTCTCTGTTTCTCTCTTTCAAGATTTGTTGTGAGAGAAAGAGAGAGGAGAGAAGAGAGAATGGCCTAAAAAGTTGGAGGAAATTTGAGAATTTAATGGAAAATTTTGAGTGAGAGAGAAAGAGAGAGACTTGGCTATTAAATGTAGTTAGGGGAAATGGGAAATATTTAAGGAAAAAAAATATGGTTTTTTAAGAAATACTCCCTCCGTCCTATAAAAATGGATTTTTTAGAAAAAAAATTTGTCCCACAAAGATAGAAGTTTTATGTTTTCAATACCAAATTTAAAACAGTTTACCTATTTTACCCTTATTAAACAATAATAAAAATATACTCTTTAAAATGTATTAAAAAGTTAAAAGGTTAAAATTGTCATTATACATTATTTCTTAAAGAATGTGAAATTTCTAAAAAATGTATCTTTGTGGGACGGACGGAGTATACAAAAAGAATAATGTTAGCAAATAAATTGTTCAAACTAGTAAACCATCAAAAACATTTGTAGCTCAAACTAGTCAAGCAATTGTTTTAGGATCGTACTAGATTTTTTTAATCCATAAATTATTTAATATTATTATAAATTTTAAAATTATGATAAAAATGGTAATTTAGAATTAAATTGTGGAATTATTTATATTTTCCAAATAAAAGGCTGTTACTCTTGTTTAATAACCAAAAAAGGCCATTACTTATAAGTTAAAAAATAATATCAGATTTAATTCCATGTACACAAATGGGATTACACTCAAAACATTTTACTTTGAAAATCTTAAATTTCTGTTACATATGGAAAACGCTTTGTACACGATTTATATAAATTTATCATCAAAAGGAAAATAAAAGTATGTTTTAAAAATAAAAACATTGAAACTTTTTTAAAAAAATGGATAAAATAAAAGTTTTATGTAGAGAGGGAAGATGCAACTACCCCAACGAAGCTTTTAATGTTTTCAGACAGTTGAGATTTGACACCTAAGAGACGGCGATGACTTTTATCCAATTGGGGGCTTTTAATTTGGCCGCGTACTATGAAACTTACTCTTTTACCCTTACGTTGACCCGTTATTTTCGAAATTACCCTTTTTTGTTAACAACTTGAAGACACTTACGTACGTGGCCGTGTGAACTTGTGTAATAGAATGTTCAATCATTTTTTTTTAGAATGTGCAATCGTATTATATGATTCATATATAGATGGAAAATTAAGTGAACCGAAATAGAAGTTTGTTGAACTAAATATGAGTAAATGTGTGGGTTATTGCCACTAAAATAATATAAGATGAATCGGTCTCGGTAGCCATCGATGAACTTTTGTCAAAAAGAAAGTTTATTCCATAAATAGATCTTGTAAGTATATTTATTATAATCTATCTCGAGGTTTTGACTTAATCGTATTCCATACTAAAAGTAAATTTGCTGAGTTTGAACATCAATTTATGAAAACGTATAAAAGTAATATTCAAGCCGCTTCACTAGATTTGGAGACACAATTTACATATTGAACCAAGACAACCATGCATTAAGGAAAGTTTTGACCAAATCATGAATGTCTTTATATTATCTTATCTATCCTACAACGCTTTATTACATGACTCAACATTTGAATACGATAGTGCATACATATATCCTAAATTATATTTGAAGTTTCCTTATTATTCTTAAAACTGATAGTTTTTAAACATTTTTTATTTTTATTTTTAATAAGTTATTATCTTTTTGTAATTGTATAATAAATTTCATTAAGAATCCTTTTGCCCATCTTAAATAACATTGGTATTTCTATGAAATTTTCATTATTATTATTTTTATTTCTTAATTATATATTCATGGATTATGTTCATTTTAAGTTATATATTAGCAAAACATTAATTTTAAGTGTTTTATATGTATACTAGATAAGGCCCGTGTAAATACGCGGGTTAGAAAATAAATGTAAATTTATATCGATAATATTTGAAATCTAAATAATAATTTATATATTTTTTATCTTATATGATAATTCTTTTAAAGCGGATTTGAACCTTACATATTCCATTTTCCAATACAATTTAACTATCTATATCATCATAGTAAACCATATTTTAATCTTTACACACTTAATGAATTATACTTAAATTTTTTTATATCAAACACAATATATACATAATATCAAGTCTATATCTTAGTTAAAATTTAAAAATTAAAAAAACATAATTAGTAAAAAAGTAAAATAGAATCCACAAAGAAATTTGGAAATCAAACATGGTCTTAATCAAAAATACATAATACTTGTCAATCATATGAGTTAATAAGATTTTTTTTAAATCATATATTTTTTTTTTTCTGAATTGACATCTAAAATAATTAGTTTCGTTTTTTTCTTTCTTTTATGTTTTTTTCTTATTTTTAAGATGGGTAGTTGATTAACACATGAAACCTTGACAATTTAATTTTTTTTATTTCTATTTGAATAAGATTTATTGAATTATATATGTTTTTCTTTTTTTTTTGAGTCGGCAATTAAAAATAAATTGAGTTTTTTTTCTTTATCGTTTTAAGATTAGCAATTGATTGTATAATTTATCTAATTTAATTTGAGAATGAAATAAATATTTCTTTATCTTTTCTTTAAATTTAAGTATAAATTTTAGATTTTGAATTTTCCATATTTATGTTAACATTATGTTAAAATCTAATTGGTTGAATTTTTTTACACGTGTCAAAATCTTATCAAGATACTTAATGCGTGTCCCAATCATATGAGTTACCAACCTTTGAAAACTATACTTTATAGGGTATAATAAAATGTTACACATGTGTTATTATAATTCAAGTAACTTTTATTTTAAAATTGTGCATTAATTGAAGATTACTTCTTAGATAATTAGATGTAATTAACTATAAAATTTAATATTTTGAAACAATTATTGGTGGAATCCATCATATTAATTTGGTGATGATGTGGACACTCTAAAAGAAGAGAAAACTCTCTCATTATATATATATATATATATATATATATATATATATATATATATATAGATTTGGGATACAATCAATGGATAAAATGAGGAGAAAAGTAATTTATAGAAATAAATGGGTCACATAAAGAAAGCTGGAGAAAGTTGGGGTGACAGCGTAAAATGTAATATGGAGAAAGCACATGACATGAATTTAATTGAGACACTCTCGAATTTATTTCTCTCTGACCTTTCTATTACATCATTGCTACACTCGTTTGTTATGTCTCATACTCACAAGTGACCAAATCTACATTTGTTTTAAAATTGAAAAGTAAAATCGAAATTTTATAGATAAGATAGTCAACAAATTTTGTTTATATGTACATGTTAAATCCTATACTATTATTTGGGGAGTACACTTTATAAGAAACCCTTAACTAACCTTCTCTTTTGTAAAAAATTACATGAGAATGCCATTACAAATTTCTTCTTTTAGAACAAATTTTATTCAATTTCTTAAGGATAAACAAGTAAAATACTAATTTATGTCATTTAATTAATTTAATTAAATTATAAAACGAAAATCTGTTATTAATTTTTTTTAAATGACCAATCAAAATGAATATATAAGATTTGATATCTAACTTACCATATTAATTTGTTATTAATCATTAAACTTCACCTCTCATCTTTATATGATTATATTTATATGAAACAAATAAATCATCATATCATCTATATAATAAAAAAAAGTAATTTTTTTTCTGCATATGCCAAGATTTGAATTTTTAAAAACGCATATAAATTGTTCAATCTATAGAGAAAACAATTAAACGGATCAAAAATTCAGACTTGAGTAATATATTTCTTTTACACAAAAATAAATTCAACAAAAATTTCGACTGAGCAACGGGTCAGAATTTGAATATTTATATTCGATTTCATACATTTATTTTTTGAAATGTATAATTTTATATACTTCAATAAAAAATAAATATTTTAATTTGCAACATTTAAAATAAGTTTTACTTGATATTTTTAGAGAATATCATCAATACTTAATAGTTCAAAAAGTTAAAAATTATAAATACTCTAATTTGATTATTTTTAAAAATATTTATAATAGGTAGCGGGTTAAATATGATATATTATATGATGAAATGAGTTTTGATCCTTATAACTATTTGAATAGTTATATTTAATTTCATATAATTTGTTTTTTGAAATTCAAAATTTATAAACTACAAAAAAATTTAAAGATTTTAATTTGGAATATTTAAAAATAGTGTAGAACATTGAAATATGGTTTGACACCTCTAAATATTTGAAAATTTGATTCCGCAAGCAATTTTAGAATTAACGAATAATAGATTGTGCACGTAATATTTTGAAATGAAATATTAAGATTCTAAAATAAAAATATAGACTCCACGCACATGTTGATTTTGGTATTATTATATACTAAATATATGTTTATAACATATTCGATTATGCAAATAATTGGTAAATTCCGTAATTATAAATCTCAAACAAATTCTGTAATTAGATTAGCTCAAACAAAACTCTATTTCAACAACCAAAGAATTATAAATTGAAAAAGAATTTTCTAAATTAATTCAAAATAATAGCTAATTTCTTAATTAATTCAAAATAATCTATGTTTTATATGCTATTCATTTATGATATTTTAATTCTAACTAAAATTTATGCAATCCTATTTTGTGGTTGTTAACATAAATTAACTCATTGTTCAAAAAATATTACTTTTTAAAAAATAAAATTATTTTCCGTTTTCATATCTTAAAAAAAAATTATCCATAATTGAGTATTATAGAAAAAAATCTATATTTATTCTAATATTGTATATAGGGACTGACAAAAAAATTAATATTTTTTACTTTGTATTATAATATATTAAAACTTAGTTCTAATATATATATTATATAAATTTTGTAATAAATAAAATTCAACCCGTACTTTAGTAAAGTACGGGTGATGATCTAGTATTATTA